ACTTGTAAGATGAGGTTTGCATCCACTTATATATTATAAATTAGTTTTATCCTAGTCGATGTGAGACTTCCAACACTTATTGCCTACACATTCTTTCAAATATCATATATATTAGGAGAATATCCTATTCATTGTTCTTTTCATCCTAGTTATAAAAATCTTTCTTATTTGTATCCTCGGTCGCAAAAAATCCAAAGAAAATTTGTAGCATAAATCATAGAAACTTAACATCACTAGGTTAAGCACATAGTTTCGAGTATAATAGAAAAAAAAAAATACTTCATTACTTGTATAGTTCACTCTTAAAAATGCACCTGTGAGAAGTTGACAATAACCGGTAGTATATGTGTGACACAATCTTGTGGCTCCAGCAGCTTCCCAAGTGCAGCACAACCCTCCACCGCCAACAATCTAACAGAATCTTGATCTGAACCATGTTTTAGAGTTAAATTAAATATTTAAAAGGTCCACTCGCACTGAAGAAAATTTATTATTGAATCTACAAAACAAATCAATCCATATAGAATGAAAAATGTGTATTCAACTACCATCCTTAGTGAGATCCTCAAAAATTGACATAGTGTCAGCCTTCAAATGAGTGTATTCAACAGTTGCAGCAAACTTTCCAAGATTTGATGCAGCAGATCTTCTAACCATAGGCATGTCATCTTGACACAACAGATTGTATATTGATCTTAACTCTGTCTTTGACATTTCCGGTGCAATAGGGTAAGCAATGTGAAATAGCCCACATGAAGACACTCGAGCAGTGAACCATTCACCTGCTGCCAACCTCTGAAACAAGATTAAAAAAATGACAGGACATTGAACAGTAACTATACAATACATCATTACTCATGAATATGCTTTAAGAAACATACAACCAATTAATGCCAGTAGAGTGTTAGATATTGACGCAAATGCAGCAGATCAATATAAGTAAGATATGGTGCAAGTCATTGAAAACTAATAGAATTTTGGTAGAGAAATCAAAATCAACCCTATTTATACTGGTACTAGACTCCAACTCCTAATCAAATCAAATAAGGAAACTAATCAAGATACATATACACAATATCACAAAATAATTAAGAGATTATCTATCATACTGAAATATATTCTATGATACAATATCAATATAATGAGATACTTTCTAGATATTCTAACACAAGTTCGGCTTCGGTGCAACAGTTAGAGTTGCAGCCATTTAACTGCCTGGTTAAAACTTCAAGTTGTGGAATCAGCCTCACCAAGTTCACATTAAGGGGCAGCCTACAGTAGACTCGTAATAACTCTAACCTTCCCAAAACCCCAACATGGCAAGGGTTTGTAGCAACCTTCTTATTATTCTAACAAATAGTTTAACACGGGTACATTAATCAACAGCCTTTTTGGTTTCACAAGTTTACTTAACAGGAAACAGTTAAAATCCAAGAAAACTAAATGAATGTCATAATCAGAATAATAGGCACTGGAACAATGCAAAAACAAGGAAAATCTTTACTTACGAAACTATAAAGTACAATCAATCAATACATAGTTCAACAAATGGTAATGACAAAGGCATTCATATCTATGGAACAGTATAATCTGACCTTCACCAAAGGAATGAAATATTCAACCAAATCACTTTCCCTCATCTGTGATCCAATCCTACAAAGTGATTCGACAGCTTTATCTCTCACACAAGTTTCCTCAACAGTGCAAAGCGTCTCCAAAGGTGGGAGCAACACATGAGCATGTTCCACTCCGCCGACAAAAGGAACAAACACCCCCAACTCTTCAGCCATTGCAAGAAGTACCTCATCATCATCATCATTATTCTCACCCAAAAAGGGTATCAACTCCCTACGCGTTCGCTCCTCCCCAAGAGCCCGGGCAATCGTAGATAACTTCCGTATCGAGTTCAATCGCAGCTGAATGTCATCATTTTTCAGTTCGTCTATAAGCACTGCTATGGGATATAGCGGCTCATCAGCAATGGACATTTTCTTTTCCTCTCAAAATTTCTAGCCCTACAGTTAAAATCAAATTGTTAAAAAATACTACTAAATTGTCAAGCTAGCATAATTTAAAGTATACATTATTCAACAACAAAAAAGTGAAGGAAAAGTAATGGAATTTCTGAACTAATTATTACGGAATTAACAAAATTATATAAAAAAAAAAATCATTACCCTCAGCTCAGTTCATCCAAAATATTTCTCGAAATAAAAATAAATAAATAGAAATGCTAAAAATGGCATGTCAAAATTTGTCAACAAAACCCTAGAGACAAAATCCAGAGACAGAAGAACAAAACACCATACCGTGTCGCGCAGTAATGTCGATATTTTTCAAAGTTTCGGTTCACTGAAACGGAAGTGAGAAGTAATCGATTGTTATACTCTGTGGAATCGTAGAACAGAGTCAAATAGCGGTTCGTTTTATCTTGGAAATGCCACTTATGGCCAATGGCAAGTAAGCGTTGAGAAAAAAAATATATATATGAAGCTCTGAAAACCCTAAAGCTTCCGAGGAGGACAAGGGCCAAAGGAGTTTCTCAGAACCCGAGACCTTTGAATTCTTGTGTTTTTTGAATCATCTTTCCCTTCTGTTTTTCAATTACGAAATTATAAGAGCTTTTTTTTTTTTTTGCTAAGTTTTGATTTTTTTATACAAGTACAAATTCAAACATTTTTTTTCTTTTTGACAAATAAAAAAAACTTCAATACATATATCTAATAAATCAAAATCAATACAATATTGGTTGTTTAATAGGGTTTTTATCTTGAACTCATAGATGTTATAATGTGACAGAAATTTAAATACTTACGTAAACTTCTACCTTATATATAAAGATAATGTATGTTTGGTTTGATTTTATTTGATTTGTATGCAGTATATCTTCACTAACGAGAACAATGCATATTCATACTTTTTAGTACATTAAAATATATAAAGTTTTATTATTTTTACAATTTTATTATTTTATAAACAATTAGTTAAAATATAGAAAAATAAGACATTTGAAATATATATATATATATATAATTTTATGAAAATAAAAAAAATTATGTAACCATTATTTCTAAGAATAGAAGTTATTTAATTATTTTGAAAATTATAAAAGTTATTTAATTATTTATTTTACTAAATAAATACATAAATTATTTTTATTTGCTCGCTTTCTACATATATGTTTTTGTGCTCTTTATTATCTTATGTGTTTATCCTTTTATAAAAATAATAAATTATAAAATAGAAGATAAAAATGTTTTCATATTCATAAAGTTTGAAGCACTCGTGAGATCGTCATCGATCTAGTGCTTAATCACTTTTTTTATAAATAATTGAATATGGCTTTTTTTTAAGGTATAAGCATTCGTGTGATCATTTACATCATCCTAATGCTTAATAACTTTTTTTTAAAATAATTAAATATTTCTTTAAAAGTATAAGTACTTACGTGACCGTTCATGTTGGCCTAATACCTATTTCTTTCATTTTTTTTCCCATCACTCCTAAAATAACAAAAAAGTACAAAATCTTCAAAACCAAAAGCATTAAGATTGTTAAACAAACTTTTTTACGAGAACTATGTGATCCCTGATTTTCACATATAATAGCAATTATCATTCCAAGATCGAAATGACATCATATGAACCTTTGTTGGAAGAAGATATAAAATATCTTTGTTTTAGTATGAGGATGTGGAGGCAGTTACTGTAGGTCTTGAGTTGTTACAACAAATTACGAAAAGATAAGTTGATACAAAAGCGGATACAAGCAACTTAGAGTAAATAGAAATCTTATGCTTACAAGAGGAAAAGACTGCTTACAAGAGGAAAAGATTGCTTGAGTTTGAAGCGGGTGATCATGTATTTCTAAGGGTAACACCAACAATAAGAGTGAGAAGAGCCATCAAATAAAAAAAGTTGTGTCTGAAGTTTCTCAGACCTTATCAGATCATAAGGATTGAGCTAGTAGCTTAAGAGCGTTACCACCATAGTTGACGAATTTGCATAATGTGTTCCATGTGCACAATTGAGGGAGCATATACCAAGTCCAATTCATGCACTCAAGGTAGATAACATTCAAATTCGAGAAGACTTATCTTTAGATTTTAGACCAGTATGAGTGTTGGATTCTCAAATGAAAAAGCTGAGGCAAGAATATTCGTACTATGAAAGTAGTGTGGGACGAAGGAACTTAAACTTGAAGAAGATGTAACCATATATTTTTCGTGATAAATGCAATTTTCGAGGATGAAATATTTTGAGTTGGGAATAATGTAAAATTTAGAAAAAAAAAGTATATAGAAAAGTGGTATGACTATGGACGATATTAATTAAAATAAGAAATAATGAATTGTACAAAAGTGAAGCATAATACAATTGATTAGAAGTTATTGCTATGAGTTAGAGGTCATGATTAAAGTTATTTTATGTTTTTACAAATGTTTTCATCTTTTTTGTAATTTTGCATAAGTTTACCATTATAATATTAACATATTAAATTTTTAAACCTATATTTTTAAATTAATTAGATTCAAAACTTAATTATAAATTTAAAATTATTTATTATTATTTTTTCAATCTTTAATGTACCATAGGGCTGGATGGTCCTAGAACATGAGAAGTGGCCTGCCGGTACAAAGGTCATAAGATACCGACCGGAGAGAACTAGGGATGGACGACACAATGTAATAACTAACTTTCACAAATCAAAGATTAAGATAAGTACTCATTAAATGTAATGGATCGAGATTGAGTTAATATTAAGGTTTCATTAATCTCAAATCCATATCAAAATTTATAAATAAATGTCAAAATAAGAAGTAGATGATTAACTTAAGTATCGGAGAACCTTTGACAACCAAATACCCCTCTTAACGGTTGAAAAATAAATTATGAAAGTGTTACGTGACCCTCGAAACATTTAATTTTCTTTTTAATGAACATACAAATAAATACGATAGTCAAATTAGGGTTGTGTGTACCTTGCGTGAATTTTTATTTTTTTTTGCTACTAAGAAAGTGTGTTGTGAAGAGTCTCGACGTGGCAGTTCTGATTATGTTGCCCATCAACCACAGGAAATGTATGACAAGGGTTGACAAGGAGTTGAGGTTCGACAAAAGGGTTAGTGCACGCTGCGGGGGTTAATGCACGTTGCTGGGGTTCAAAAGAAGGTGGCGCGGGTCGTTCCACGCGGAGGCGCGATTGGAACTGTTGATGGCATCGCCGCCATAGCCGCCACAACTCTACTCAATGAGCCTCTATTTTAGAGCCTCAAAACCCTTCTTAACCCTCAAAGTGCGCTTCCTTGTGCCCTTGCCATCTTCCTTTTCCTTCTGCACAAACGACGCCGTTGCGAACAACAACCGCTCGGTGGTGCTTTTCCGTGCCGCGGTTGCTGAGCCGGAGTTGCTGGTCCGGGTTCTGAACACTGTTAGAGACCGGCCCGTGGCTGCTCTCCGGTTCTTTCGATGGGCCGAGGGCCAAACCGGGTTCAAGCAATCTAAATTGGCATATGCCGTTATTCTCGACATTCTCGCGCGGAACGGCTTGATGCGGTCTGCATATTGCATCATGGAGAAGGAGGCAGTAAGAATGGGCGACGTGGTGGATGTTTTGACCGACGGCAGGGTTTTTTCTTCCGAGGTATCTGTTAAGCTTCTGGATTTGTTGCTTTGGATTTACTTGAAAAAGTCGATGCTTGGGATGTGCTGGTTGGTGTTTTATAAGATGATTGCGAAGGGGTTGTTGCCTGATGTGAAGAATTGCAATAGGGTTCTGAGATTGCTTAAGGATACCAACTTGGCGAGGGAGGTTTATGATGTGATGATGGAGTGTGGGATTAGGCCTACAACTGTTACATATAATACAATGTTGGATTCCTTTTGCAAGCAAAGGCAGGTTCAGCAAGCTCAGCAGCTTTTGCTTCAGATGCAGAGGGTGGGGTGTTCGGCCAACGAATTGACTTATAATATTATGGTCAATGGTTTATCACACCAGGGGGAGTTGGAGAAGGCCGAGGAACTGATCGAGGAGATGTTGAGATCGGGACTCAAGGTTTCGGCTTACACTTACGATCCTTTGATTCGTGGCTACTGTGAGAACGGTATGCTTGATAAAGCCTTGAGTGTTGTGGAGGAGATGTTGAGTAGAGGGGTTTTGCCTACGGTAGCGACCTACAATACAATCATGTATGGCCTTTGCAAGTGGGGAAGAGTGAGTGATGCTAGGCAGTTGTTAGATGTAATGGTTAATAAGGATCTGATGCCGGACTTGATTTCATTCAACACTCTAATTTACGGTTACTGCAGGTTGGGAAGTTTAGGGGAGGCTTTTCTCTTATTTGTTGAGTTAAGATACAGAAGTCTAGTTCCCAGTGTCGTGACCTATAATACGCTTATTGATGGTCTTTGCAGATTTGGGGACTTGGATGTGGCCAGGCGGATAAAAGATGAAATGATCAAACATGGGCCTAATCCTGATGTATTTACGTATACAATTCTTGTTAGAGGATTTTGCATGGTGGGGAACTTGCCAATGGCTAAGGATTTATTTGATGAGATGCTACATAGAGGATTGCAGCCAGATCGTTTTGCATACATAACTCGAATAGTAGGTGAGCTGAAGCTTGGTGACCCATCTAAGGCTTTTGGTATGCAGGAAGAAATGATTTCCAAAGGCTTTCCTCCTGATTTGATTACATATAATGTCTTTATTGATGGGCTCCACAAGTTGGGAAATTTGAAAGAAGCAAGTAAACTTGTGCAGAAAATGCTCTACGATGGAATCGTTCCAGATCATGTAACTTATACTAGCATCATCCACGCTCACTTGATGGCTGGGCATCTTAGGAAGGCTAGAGTGGTGTTCAATGAGATGTTGAGCAAAGGGATATTTCCATCAGTTGTCACTTACACAGTTCTAATTCATTCATATGCAGTTAGGGGAAGGCTGGAACTAGCTATTTTGCACTTTATTGAGATGCTAGAGAAGGGTGTATGTCCAAATGTGATCACCTACAATGCCTTAATTAATGGACTTTGCAAGGTGAGAAAGATGGACCGGGCATACCATTTTTTTGTAGAAATGCAAGCAAAGGGCATTTCTCCAAATAAGTATACTTACACTATTTTAATAAACGAGAACTGTAACTTAGGTCATTGGCAGGAAGCTTTGAGATTGTATAAGGATATGCTAGATAGAGAAATTCAGCCTGATTCATGCACACATAGTGCCCTGTTGAAGCATCTAAGCAAAGACTATAAATTGCATGCAGTTTGGCATCTTGAGAATGTTATTGCAGGATGTGAATGAACTTATTGTGTAAGGATGAAGTATTGATTATTTGTTATGCTCAGTTTGGCATTCTCACACGGCTAATGAGTAAAACACATGCCTACATTTGAATGGGTTTTTACCCTTTGAGGTTTAAATTCTTTGGACTGAATAATATATATTTTTCGACTCTCAAGGTAAGAATCCCTACTTTTTTTTAAGATACACAATGCCTTATATATAACTATTATATTCCTGTGACCCTGATTCATCATCTAATTTGTTACAGGTTGAAGATGCTTATGGTGTTCCTGATGATTAAGATGGCAGACGTCAACTTTTTACACGTCTTGACATAGTATATCCTCAGACTAGGTAATACTTGGGNTGGGGAAGAGTGAGTGATGCTAGGCAGTTGTTAGATGTAATGGTTAATAAGGATCTGATGCCGGACTTGATTTCATTCAACACTCTAATTTACGGTTACTGCAGGTTGGGAAGTTTAGGGGAGGCTTTTCTCTTATTTGTTGAGTTAAGATACAGAAGTCTAGTTCCCAGTGTCGTGACCTATAATACGCTTATTGATGGTCTTTGCAGATTTGGGGACTTGGATGTGGCCAGGCGGATAAAAGATGAAATGATCAAACATGGGCCTAATCCTGATGTATTTACGTATACAATTCTTGTTAGAGGATTTTGCATTGTGGGGAACTTGCCAATGGCTAAGGATTTATTTGATGAGATGCTACATAGAGGATTGCAGCCAGATCGTTTTGCATACATAACTCGAATAGTAGGTGAGCTGAAGCTTGGTGACCCATCTAAGGCTTTTGGTATGCAGGAAGAAATGATTTCCAAAGGCTTTCCTCCTGATTTGATTACATATAATGTCTTTATTGATGGGCTCCACAAGTTGGGAAATTTGAAAGAAGCAAGTAAACTTGTGCAGAAAATGCTCTACGATGGAATCGTTCCAGATCATGTAACTTATACTAGCATCATCCACGCTCACTTGATGGCTGGGCATCTTAGGAAGGCTAGAGTGGTGTTCAATGAGATGTTGAGCAAAGGGATATTTCCATCAGTTGTCACTTACACAGTTCTAATTCATTCATATGCAGTTAGGGGAAGGCTGGAACTAGCTATTTTGCACTTTATTGAGATGCTAGAGAAGGGTGTATGTCCAAATGTGATCACCTACAATGCCTTAATTAATGGACTTTGCAAGGTGAGAAAGATGGACCGGGCATACCATTTTTTTGTAGAAATGCAAGCAAAGGGCATTTCTCCAAATAAGTATACTTACACTATTTTAATAAACGAGAACTGTAACTTAGGCCATTGGCAGGAAGCTTTGAGATTGTATAAGGATATGCTAGATAGAGAAATTCAGCCTGATTCATGCACACATAGTGCCCTGTTGAAGCATCTAAGCAAAGACTATAAATTGCATGCAGTTTGGCATCTTGAGAATGTTATTGCAGGATGTGAATGAACTTATTGTGTAAGGATGAAGTATTGATTATTTGTTATGCTCAGTTTGGCATTCTCACACGGCTAATGAGTAAAACACATGCCTACATTTGAATGGGTTTTTACCCTTTGAGGTTTAAATTCTTTGGACTGAATAATATATATTTTTCGACTCTCAAGGTAAGAATCCCTACTTTTTTTTAAGATACACAATGCCTTATATATAACTATTATATTCCTGTGACCCTGATTCATCATCTAATTTGTTACAGGTTGAAGATGCTTATGGTGTTCCTGATGATTAAGATGGCAGACGTCAACTTTTTACACGTCTTGACATAGTATATCCTCAGACTAGGTAATACTTGGGAGGAATTGGGAATTTGTTAGTTAAGGTTCAAAGATCTGTAACGTTGTGCTTGCAAGGCTAGAGGTATACCTCTGAAGCTCAATCCTTGTCAAGATATTTCAAACAATTTTGAGATATCTTAACACAAATTTTAATTCATTTTTCTTAGTCTATTGTGGGTAAAGGGAATATTTTGACGTGATAGTGCATATTCTTTGCATTAAAGTTTTAATTATTTTTTAAGCCTAGTGATACACCTTTTTTTTTCCATCACAATTTGTACAATGAAAGGAAAATAAAAGACAGACCTTTTGTAGTTCTATACTATGTAGCATTTGAATGCTCAACCATTTTCTCATCACTGTATTATATATCTTGCTATTCAGAATTCACTTACCTCTGTCAATAAATTCATTTTTATCAGTTAAATTCTTCGATTGAATTCTCTTTATCCTTTTTTTTTTTCTGTTATTAATGTCCTTCCCAGTGCTTCTAGTTTGACATTATGGGATATTGAGATGAAGTTGTATTCGGGAATTATAGTCCGGAGAGTTCAATAACCGTACTGGAATTTTAACGCAGCTCTTTATTATTTCATTTAAGAAGGAAAATGGAGTTACTTTGGAGTGGTTTGATTTAAATTGCTTGCTAATTTATTATGTTTATAGTTAAGACTAAGAAGTTTTGGAGAAAAATGAAGGTGGAGGAGATTATTCTCAACTGATCTATTATTAATATAAAAAATATGCTATCTGAAATACAGAAGGTTTATAAGAAAACCGAACCCCTGGGACCCTGTATGATTGACAGGTACAGTAAAAAAAGTTTTAAATGATGTTCTAGAAGACAATAATTAACATATAAATGGTATGCACCAATCTTAGAACATATTCACTCAATTCCAGGGCAGAACATTTACGACTTGATCATTGGAGCTGGTAAATTCAGCACTAATTTCTTTGTTCATCAACTTTTCTTTAACAAAATACAATCTATTTGTATGTTTTTGTTTCTTTCATGGAACCCGTTATTAGAGGCAAAGTGCACTTTGATTGCCACAATACACTTTTATTTGTTGAATCTTACAAAATTTCAATTCTTGGAGAAGTTGTTTGATCCACACAAAGTTTGCATGCGATTAAAGGGATTGTCCTATATATTCAGCTTCAACTCTAAATCAAACAACTACATTCTATTTCTTGCTCTTATACAAAATAATATTGCCTCCAATAGGTATGTGTTACCCATTAGTGGAACGTTTGTCTTTAAGAGATCTTGCCCAATTCTTATTACAATACTCAGAAGTCAAAAAGAAAACAAAAGAGACATAACAAGGGGACAACCTTTGCATAGATACTTTTAACCGTTTTCCATTAGGAATTGGACATTTTTAAAGTCACAAGAGTTCCCTAGTATATTGGGTTCCATGGATTGCTAAAGCAGAATAGTAAGTTGAAATTCCTGCTTCTTCCTCTGCTTGGTATTCTCTGATGAAATTTCTCTGCTGCCGTTGTCATGGTGATAATAAATCTTTGGCCAAGGGTTCGATAGATGTAGTCCAAGATATGTAATTCTTTCCATTGAGTTTTTCTGATGTTACCGTGAGAGTTCCAAAGAAGGAGAACACCTGTCCAAAAGGAGAATAAAAGGGGGCTGAACACCAACATACCACAAGACAAGGTTGGAAATCTGACATGAGGGTGGAAAGGCATGAGCCATTGGAGGGTAGAGTATAGAGAGGTGGCACATGTGGGCATCTGCCGAGGCTTTTGTATCAATAACCACTAGTGTAACATCCCAATTATATAATAACCAATATTATATAATAAAGACGTCAACATTCAAATATAGAGAACATTCATAATATGACGTGTAATTTAATTGTTAAATTACAATCATCCAAATAAAATGAGCGAAAATTTAAACTTGAACAGTTGAAAGGATTGATCACTACAAGTGTTCAATCAGGAGATTTCTAGGAAGACTACTCTGCAACATTAGCAACCTCTAGCTCTTGATCCAAAGGACTCTCCTCGACAGCATCTGCTCCCATCCAAGTGGATGATCATCGCCAAAGAAAGATATCCAAATTGGCACACAACACAAACAATGCAAGGGTGAGCTAGATATAAAAAGCATGTTATACATACATCACAGTTAATTCATGCAATCATTCATAGATTCATATAAAAGAACAATTAAAGCATACTCATTGATCCATATTTCACATAACATATTTCCATGACATGTAAACTTCATCCACACATGGTAACTGACATCACAAGACTTGTTACTTATACCCCGACTTGTTCCTTTATAAACCGACTCGTCCGGACTAGAATGCATTACCGAGCTATGGCGGGTCTTGCACTCGTGGTGGCTTTATAAAATTGGGCACTCCCGCCCCTGGCACTCCCGCCTTGTGCAAACTTTAGGCCACTACCGCCTGGTGGAACATTAGGCACTACCGCCTGGTGGAACATGGCATCCCCGCCTTGTGGAACATTGGGCACTCCGCCCCGGCCACAATACGAGGTTAATCCGTTATTACTCACCTTGGATCATATGGAAGCATCCAAGACTAGGACCTCTGCTACTGACTCCCACAATGTTAATCTCTCTACATGAGAAGAAAGACCATTGGAGATTCAGGATGACCCCAAACGAGCTACCATGTAATCATTCTATACAACCCCAAAACACCACCATGTATCCTCTCCTTGAGGATCATGGAATTACGTCCATGAATCATACTGTTACCTTGAACCTTAACCCAAGCCATGAATAACCAGATATCACTATATTATCACAACCAATCCAGCATACCTCATACATTTACATACTTCCCACATAAATCACATCATACTATGCATTCCAACATCCCACATACGTAAAAATCTGTTAAGCAAACAACATTAATCAATCCAATACACATTAAAACAATAACAGTTCAAGAGAACCACTAAACAATACAAATCCCCGTAACTCTACTTAGACAAAGAAAATGGCTTTGAAACCATCACCAACAGTTCCGGAAGGGTCCAAAACCTCCAAAACGACTTAAGAAACGTCCAAAACGGACACCCGGAACCCCAAAAACTATCAAAAACAAAGACAAAGTCACTTTTTCCGAACACCTCGCGCCCGGGCGCCAAAAAGGGGCGCTTGGGCGCGACTTTCTGCGAACATCTCGCGCCCGGGCGCCACAAGAGGGGCGCTTGGGCGCGATTTTCTGCGAGACTCTCGCGCCTGGGCGCCACCGGGGGCGCCGGGCGTGAACCAGAAGTCGTCCAGCCCCATACCAGTTGACAGCAACCATTTTGCACCTGTTTTGATCAGTTCGATGACTCTAACAAGTCACAAATGACTTACCTAAGATATCCCAATAACCCACATGTACTCAAAATCCTTACTCCCCAAATCACTACCTCACTTCATCTCAAAGTGACCCAAAACTCTATCAGCTTGTTCAAAACAGTGTATACTTTCCTTACCTTCCACTTGATCACCCCTCCAACAGAATACAAATATCAACATACCAATCTCAAATATCATTAACCTCCTTACCTTGAGTAGAAGTTAGAGCATGAACATATATGTTAGAATGAGGAGAATGGTTTAAGTTTGGGGGAGTTCTTGTCATAAGGGAGCATTGAGAAAAATAATAAGTTGAGTAAAAAGAAAGAAAAATAAGAAAGAAGAAGAAAAAACAAAAACATGAATTCAATGAAAAAGAGTTGGGAAATAGGTTGAGAAGTGGTTTATTCAATTTTGGAGAAAAAGAGAGACTATGCTACATCATGAATTAAATTGTTTGGTCTCTTATCTCAAGGTGCTTTGTTGTCCAGAAAAACCAATTTTTCTTCTTAGCCCAGCCACAATACAAGCTTTCAACAAAGCCTTGGATATAACTGCTTGTTAATTGTGTTGATACTGTTTTGAAAGAAAGGCAAAGTTGAGTTATTGCAACATTGTGGTACTTGAGAGCTAGGACACAACATCATTATACACTGATTGTGCTGAGTGAAACACTTCTTTGGTGAGGCTTGGTTCCATGCACTCATGAAAACAACTTGTTTGTAATCATCAATTGGCATCTATCTGTGATTTTAAATTTAGCACCACGATTGAAGTTTAGCTGCCTAAGACTATATTGTCTCTTGATGTGATTTATAAGTTGAGCAAAGCAGCATGATTGATTTTGTTTATTGTGATAAAAATTGTGTTTGAGTTGCTAGGACCATGCAATTGAATTGTTCTTTAGGCTAGTATCTTTTGTTTTCATGAGGACATGAAAAAGTTTCAAGTTGGGGTTTGTGATAAGTGCTCAAAAATTAAATATACTGAGCACTTATTTTAAAGCTCCTTTGATGTATATGGAAGTAAAAATCTATGAAGTTGATAAAATTGTTATCTATAATTTGATTTTATATCAATATGAGGTTTTTGTTGTGTTTATTTACGCAAATAGAATAAGGATTGAAAATATCAACGGGACCCTGCGCGCATCAGGGGCCCAGCCAGAGTGAAGCGTAAACCAATTAGGCAATATTTCGTCTTTTAAGTCTTAGCTTTAATCAAGAACACAAACTAAAATAGGTCGTGAGTCCTTTGGGAAGAACGATGACTTGTCTTACCAAGTTATTACTGAACGATTCGGTATTACTTGCGATGGTAACAAGTTGTGACATTTCATGTTCGGTGTTCATAAATTTGTCCATCAGCTCGACCCAAGCGAAATATACTTATGACCATCTCTTAAGGACGCGAAACCAGAGGCAGAGAAAACCAGTTTAGAGGGGGAGGAAACTGATACAGAAGGCCTAGCACCATTGGACCTATCACAAGCAGGGATGATCAAGAAGCTACAAGATGAGTACTGCCCAAAGGCCAAACCCTCTTTGCGATCTTGGATGGAAAATTGGAGAACAAGAAGATATTCCAAATTGCCAAAACATGGAGAAGGGTAATAAAACTAGACATTTCTATAAAAGAAGGGGTGTGCGATCCTTCTATGGGGCGCATAGGCATTGTGTTCTCCAAATTAAAACTCATTTGGCACGTGTTGAGAAGCAACACATTTAAGCACAGGGTTAGATCTGAAAAGTGTAAATGCTTGCTTAAGCCTTGAGATTAATCTATAAAATCTCATAGGCAAAGCTTGTAGATTACTTTGGATTGTGTAGTAAAAGAAATTCTGCTGAAAGGTTTAGCAAATTCCTTCTCCCAGAGTCACTTTAGCTGATCTCCATTGCAACTTTCTTCAACTCCACAGCGCACACGACTTTGAGTTGTTAATCATCTTCCAAGCTAGCCTCCA